GTGTAAAGAGCGAAAGCATTGCATCTATGTGAGGTAACGGTTGGATGCCAACTGCGACTTCACATGGAAGTGCGTCCAATTCGACGGCTTCTTAGCAAAACAGGTGGCTCCGTTGCAACGATAGCTTCTATTAGATATGTGTATGCCTCCAGTAACAATAATCGCACGATTTTGACGTCTGCAACGTGACCTAGGGCCCGCGGAACCACCCTGGTAGACACAAATAAAGCTTCTATGCATAAACAATTTTCGAAGCCGCGTATGTCAACTATTTGGGAGGCGGTACTGGAAATACTGTCGTAGCTAGCTAGGGATAGGTTATTAGGAATCTATGCTCGCAATATTAACATACAGCGGTCATTTAGGTATAGTAAGAAAGGAGAAAGCGATGAGAGCCGGATAATGTTCAGTGTCAACTAGAAGCATGTGGTCACCTATTTTGCAACGTTGTTAGCGCTGCTACAAAGCTAGTGTAGCTAAAAGAAGTGCTTAAGCAGCGGTTGATTAAGAAGTGGCAGAGGGCAACATTAGCGTTAAGAGGGTGTATGCGGTTAGCTGGATATCAGAAGGGTCGTGTTGACCACGTGAGCATCCAGCTGGTAAGAAAAGAACCAGTAAGAAGAGCACAGGTGAACTTAGAGCTCTAAATAAATAGATAAATAAATGGGATATTCTCGGTAGAACGAGACAAACCTGTAAAGGCGTGCTCAAATATGCGTCCAAGCACAGCTTCTTTGGAACGTTAATAAATTTCGTTTTAATGAAAGATGTAAACGGAAAGATGTAGTCCATATGAGTAAACATATTGTCAGGTAACAGTTAGACAAAGGAACATAATGGAGCTATGGCGAACAAAAATCAGTCAAGATACAAGTTGGGGCTAATTTCGCCATGTAGTGATCCGTGAGCACAGGAGTCCAAACAGTGGTTCGTTGCAACCAAGGACCATTACAGAGTCGGGAGGATCTGTGCTCCATCAAACATTCTGCATAGTAACTTAGTTGCACAGGTTGGATGTAGAAGCCTGAGGGCTGCGTCAGCGTGAAATGTTTAGCTGTGTCTTTATTTTGTGGCGAGTCATATCCGTCACGTTGCAGTGTTGTTAAGCGGACATTTGTGGCTTTTTATAGGAAGAACGTTTGTTAGGCGAAAATCCACCACGTCCTAGAACACTGCCGTATGTACTAAGCACTAGAAGCAGCGAACTATGTAATGATTCGGGGCGTGAAGTGTCTCCCAAACGTGTGGTTGTGGAAAGCGTGTAAAAAAATAACTTTGTTAATATGGACCGGTTTCCATCGCCATAAGGTAATCATTCATTCGGATTAGCGGTAAGATTCGACAGAGTTCAGGGTTGCAATTACGTACGACTTAAATGAGCTCGGTATTCTAAATAAATGACAAGTATTAGAGTGGTAACTGAGCCTGGTTTTCAAGAAAATTAAAGGTAAACGTTTACCACTGAACCTGAAGCTTGGAGCTTAGATCCAGTTGCCTAATTTAAGCGCACATGCCTTAAAGCTGTGCAGTTGGTCATTTGGCAATTTGTCTATTAGGTGAAGTGTGGGAGTCGTGGTCGACTTTCAAGAGAGTTAGACCTAGTCTGTACATAAATAAATAAAAATAACTAAAGCTTTTATTCTCGACAGGACAGAAGCAGATATCAGAATACGGCTATACCTGCAAACATCGCGTCAGAGCGCTGCATTCTGATGCCAGTGAAATCAACAGATGAATAGGAACCATGCAGATCTAGTTGGCTGCCGCAGCTTTAAATAAACAGTTTACCTAAGCCTTTGAGGCAGCATGACATAACATAAATGGAAATGGTTTGAGAACACTAAATTTTCTGGTCATCGAGGTACGTAAGCCTAACAACCAAGCAGGCATCCTAAAGAGACTAACATGGCATGACTACTAAAATTTTAGTGAATCACGAAAGACGCACTGTGATGCTTAGACTAATCTATTTCAGAAATGCTAAAGCCGACGACCAGAATTCGCAAATCTACACAAAGTTTCACCGGCCGTTGAGCATCGCAGGCTGGCTGTTAGCCGAATTTCCTTCGCGCCGTCTACATTGAAGGTCAAGTTCCAAGTTGATGTTGATAAATTGGGTGCCTAATGGAACTTCTTTGCTACCTTGAAGTTATTTTTACCTACCATGCTTGCCTCTTAAGAACCGTTGTTCATTTATGAGCGGAACTAAGATTCCTAGTAGATATCCCTAACCTTCGCCGACGAAAAAGAACGGGAACTACTGCTTACACTTTATAGCAGATCACTTCATGAAGCGCACTAATGCAAAACATATTGGAAGCCAACAGGCAACTGCTTTTGCTAACGATATTATCTTTGAGTGGATGGCCCGTTAAGGTGCGCCGTACCTTGTAGTGACTGACATTTTACTCCATCAAGCATCGCCATCAGACTTGCACACAATTTGTTTTACTTTGCATTCTTCCAAAGCCTATATACCGGACTGCATTTTTGAACGGTCCGCCACCTTGCCCGCGCGTTGCCGGCTGTTGCGCTCCAACGTGGTGTAACTCATTGCTTCACCACTGTCTCCCATTGTCCTCAGGCTATATTTACATAGCCATTGTACAGTGCTATTTGCTAAAGACATTCTTTATATCCTGCCGTCGTCTGTCTTATTGTGCTACGGATTTATTGTGTAGCATTCGTCAAGGCGCTACATAATTGGTGACCCCGACGTGACCCTGGGTAGTGACGATGACATTTTACTCCATCAAGCATCGCCATCAGACTTGTACCTTTTCAGGCAAACGCTGAAGCCATAGCTCTCGAAGCAGCGACTCGTATATATGCGATCCTTGAAGAAGACCACGCATCTCTAGCAACAGCGCGGATGGCTTACTAGAACCTAGCTGTAGACCAGTAAAAGGTTTATACAGGCGGGATATCACTGAGGGAGTAACACCCTTTATTACAACGTTCTTGATAATATTATAACGGCCAGGAGAACGTGATGTAATAAAAAGATCCCGTCTTGTGGTTCATGATTTTAGAAGCTGAATTTACTTCTAAGCATGTTACTAATGACTCTGCAAAGTTTAATCACTTGATGACACGTCTGCCAACTGATATTGCTATAGCACTACGTGATCTTATTATTAAATCTCGTTCTCCTGACCGTTATAATCTTCTCAAGCACGCTGTAATAAAGCGTGTTACTCCCTCAGTGAAGTCCCGCTTGCATAAACGTTTTACTGGTCAACAGCTAGGTTCTAGTAAGCCATCCTTGCTGTTGCTAGAGATGCGTAGTCTTCTTCAAGGATCGCATATGGACGAGTCGCTGCTTCGAGAGCTATGGCTTCAGCGTTTGCCTGAAAATGTACAAGTCTGATGGCGATGCTTGATGGAGTAAAATGTCATTGTCACTACAACCTCTTACAATCTGGTCGGAGAGGGAGTTCGAGAGTTACTTGTCAAAAAATATGCCGCTAGACAGCCCTATAAAGGCGCGAGCAACGCAGCACACTCAACGCTGTGATTAAAAGATATATGCAACACGGTCATTTCACATCACGATTCAACACCACCAGCTAATCACTGTAGCAAACCTTTGCCGCAGGGTACATTGGAACAATGCTATATGGCGAGTAATAAAGCAAAGTTTAGCATGTCTAATATGTTGCAAATAGCAGGATTAACGAGCTCAAATACTACATAATTAGGACCAATAACATGCGCATCGGCAAGTTATAAACTAATAGCGTAACGGACATGTGTGGTGCGATACCGATGGATTAGGAACACAGACAAGCAACTTGTTACTCTTAAAGCTTCTTACACATAACAATGAGATTTTGCACCTGCATGCAGAACTTACTTGGGCCAATGTGTGTAATAATACCAAGGAACTTAGTTAGGCTGGATTTACCTTGGCACATCCATTGTCTAACATGTAGGTCGCTCAACTCGATAGCCGAACCTATTTTGTAAAATGACAAGCTAAGGCACAATCAACAAATTTTGTAAATTGTCTCAGGTTTGGAGGACCTGGAGAGCGAAGTAATTTTCTCGGTTGGTCTAAGGTGTACGCAGCAAGCTTTTGGAACTTAACTTCCGACAGGCCACCTTTTGAGAATTAAAATGGTTTACAGAAAATAATAGTGTCCGGTTATAGCCATTTCCAACTCAGAACAAGACCGCGTTTCAAACTGGGACACTCGGACAGCCTTTACCTCGGAGGAATGCGATTGAGCAAAACGTAACATTCAGAAGGGGTGACATTAGAACACTATTTCACTGTGTAAGCCTTAGCTGGAGCTATGCATTCGAACACTGAGGTAATTACGGTCGACAAATTCAACTGAACCATTTGTGTGACGTTCACAGTCTCGATAAACCAGTTGATTTCACCGCTTAGAGCTACAGACAGATCGAGTACGATTAAAATATGCTATTAGTTTATGGAGTTTGCAAATTAAACTGCGGCGGAAAAATTCGCTTTGCTTTCCAACTGGTTTACTGCATGGGCAAAAAGAGACAATCTACAACCTGCAATAAACTTAACGAAAGGCTTTACTGAGCTAATATTATGTCATAGTTGCTGTCCGTTTGACTTCCTTGATATTGCCTTTGTGTCAAGTGCGGTGGCGCTATGAATTGTGAGCCGTAGTCGTTGGTTATAGTGATCCTGAACGGTAGCACGTGGCAATTTACAAAACTGGTTTTTCCGGTCTATATGCCGATTGTTAACGTTCCGAGCTAAAAAGCAAACACACTGCAGAATCGAAAAAACTGTAAAGTGAATTAATTCAATTAAGTGGATTTTTACTTATGTTTAATCACTTTGCATGTCAACGATGATGGCAAGGAAGAGTTTAATAAGTTGGTTTGCTTTCAAATATAACTTCTTGTTGAAATGCTTATTACAAAAGCCATTTGTGTTATATGTTTAGCATAACAGAATATTAATGCTGCCTATCACATTCACAGATTGGCGTATATTAGTTTTTATTTAGGATATGCAAATAGTGGCTTGTTTACGTGCATATTGCATGTCCACTGTACAACAATTCTTCTGAGTATATTACTATTAGCTTTTCAATATTATCAAAATGATTTCTTAGATGTTCATGTTTTAAGAAGCGTGCTATTCACAGTCTTGGTCAAGCATTTAACGCCAGTTTGTTACTGCGGTCATCCGGTATTATGATCCTTGATCCTTGTATACTCATTCAGTATCCATAGCCATTTCGACTAATGCTTCTTCCACTGTAATTTTGATCTTCGCATTGTCATTTTTGATCCACTCTATGCTCCGAATGCTGTACAAGTAACTGCATGAACATTTCGAAAGCTGTTCGGTCGTGTATTGACGTTGTTTTTTGCGGGATATCTGCTGCCACCTTAGACGTTTTGGAAGCAGCAAGTTCTCTGGAATCATGCATTAAAATTAGCGGATACTGGGATGTAGACTATCCTGGGAAAAGTAGCTTGAGACCTATTGGCGTTCAAATATTATCTTCCTCTTTCGACGATTTATTGAAAAGCGCTCAGTATGATTTTATATTTTTGTGTCTGTCACCTCAAATGCAGTACAAAGTTTTGAGAAGTTCACTTCTCAAACTGGAAGTCATGGTCCCACCTACTTCGAAATCCACTTTTCCTGCCGTGATTCTTTTCCCCCCGGTTAGTCCTTGTTACAACTGCATCGCTCTTTCCGACGCACGGAATTTTATCGGTGTGGCAATGCCATTTCGCAGACTGACGTCTGTTGCTACACTGTGTGCTCACTTACGATCCAATTTGGAAACAAGCTCCCTTAACTCTACTAAGTGCCCTTCATCTTTGCCTTCGAAGTGGACGCTTGGCGCATTGCGCAGTTTTCACGTTCGCTTAAGAGCAGTTAATCCTGTCAAAGCTGATGAGTACTCGTGGTTATGTGAACCTGGTGCCATTGGTGGTGGACTTCTTAATATCTATGCAAGTAGTCTTATTGATTTGGCTTTCTTGCTCACCTCTGGACTCCGCATCAACTCTGTCAGCTGCTTGTGCCGAACGTTCGATACCGAGGTGTCAACTAATTCTGACTCTATTAGGCGCATTTCTGCTGAAGATTACGTCCTGGCCACGGCAGAGATGGAATCAAGGTGTGGAACATCTCGTGGTCCCGTCGCAGTGTTTTGCCTCGCCGCAGATTTGCCGCGCACATCCTCTGAATATGCCAACCCCAAAAACTTGTCATACCATTCGCATAATGATCAATTTATCCTAGAAATCGAAATTGTTGGCTCATCTGGTCGGTTCATCATATCTAGTTGTCACGACGAAGTCCAGTGGAATCCAGTTGGTCGGGTTATCGGTCCCACCAATCTCGAAGAGAGTATCCAAACAGATGTGTGCTCGACACCTGTTGATAATCCTGGATCACATTTTCAGCCGAGAAGCGGGGAAGGTCTCACTGTTACAAACGGGAGTTTGCGTGAAAATGAGAAGCAACTTGACACTCATATATTAAGGTGCAAAACTAATGGGTGTCACATTCCGGATATGGGGAATTCCTCTACCACACAGCATCACAAGACTAGTAAACCAAATGAAACGTCTGTTGACAAGGTAAGACACGAGTATTATTGTTCTCTCGTTGCTTTGCCACTTGTGCCCCGCAGTCTTACGCCATTTAGGTTGTTCGTGTCATCCATATCTCTATCTACTTTTGTTCCGCCCATTTTTCGTCCGGTCACTGAGACATTTATATCCCCTTTCTCACACACCATGTCTGCGGTCAAGTGACAAGAAAAGACTGCATAGGCTAATGATGTTACCTTTAAAGTCAGCTGCTATGCCAAATAGAAACATCTCAAACTAACTAAATAAATAAATGGTATATTCCTCGGCGATGAGAGGTGCAGTCCAACTGTGGTCTGATCAATATGTACACCAAGATCGCAAAAAATAATCAATTTGTTTACGCTTTTTACAGTAAATCCAAAGCGGGCATTAAAGTACTTCGCAGGTTTTATGTATTAAAGAGATTAAAAATCCAGGAACAATAACAAATGCAGACTTAAACAAATGTCCAGGTAACGTAATACAGCCACAATGGAACCGTCCCCAGGGGACCTGCTTCCATTCAAGGTATTTTCTCGAAAGGTTTCGCCTGAACTTTCATGCTATACCTGGCCGCGTGCCTGTGTGGCATAGTAGCATATGAGCCATCACCTGTATTATGGGCGGTGAAGCCTCAGCCCAGTCCGTCATGTGGATCACTCAATTATGGCACTTTTTTCTACGCCAGTCGGTGGCAATGTGCCTTGCATAGGTAAAGTCTTATAATCTGGAAGCTATAATCCGTCACCACAGGAGATCAGCCCAGTCGGGGCCAACAATGAAATAAGGAAGAATGTAGAAGAATTTGTGTGAAAGAATTGCTATATCTAATATAAACCAGGCAGGTTTGTTTTTTACATCAGCTTAAAAATGGATCGAGCCGGTCATACGATCAAATTGTGTGGCGTGACAGCCTGAGACAGATAATTGTACAAGTTGTCCATAGGCAAATCACATGGGGAATCCGTTATTTCCATTACTGAATTCAAGTATATGTTTCTGGGCTGTTAACTTCAGAAAAGAAGGAAAAATGATTAGTATTTCAGAACAAGTATAGCGAAGGAAATCGCAGAACACTATTACGAATTAGTCAATTTGTGGGGAGAATTACGAAAATAGTTCCCGACCCCACACCAGTAAATCATTTTGCTCTCGGTTCTAGACAGAAGACAGTTGGTATGAATTAAGTTGGACAGGGTTAAAACTGCATAGGAGGTGGCATTAACGAATAGCATAAGAAGCGGTTGTAACAGCTCATCCTAGATTATCATGTTTTCTTTGGTACATTTGTTGGATATTTTTCGAGTCGATGTTCTCCAGTATCATGCATGATCCGGCCCTTCTTCATACACCTTTTCATCAAGTTGGATTTTTAAGATCCATTTCTTTTTGCCAGTTAACAGATAAACCTATGTCATTTTCTTTAACATGCAAAAATGTTCAATACATTAATCACTTTTGGCAGCTTGTTCCAAATAGAGCTATACCTAAGAAGGTAGAATTTTCTCCATAGGCTGGTCTTGCATTTAGGTAAAGAGAATATACATTCACTGTCTCGCAGTTCGTACATGGGACCTGATGATCTTCCTCCAGCCCTCTTCAAATTCGGGGGACCTGCTCTTGTGGATAATTTACACGAGTTACTAGTCAAACTGTGGGAACAGGAAACTGTCCCAACCGATTGGAGCCGCTCCATCATAGTCCGAATTTTCAAAGGAGGCTCACGATCGGAATGCGGCAGCCATAGAGGAATCAGTCTGATCTCCATCACCTCCAAATTGCTTGCCTCTGTCATCCTTCACAGACTGACTGGCACTCGTGAAAGCCAGATTCGTGAAGAGCAAGCTGGATTTCGTCGAGGTCGTGGCTGCATTGACCACATCTTCACCTTGCGTCAGTTGTTGGAGCACCGTCACATATATTGGCGGCCCACCGTTGTCGTGTTCCTCGATATCAAAGGTGCATTCGATTCGGTGGATAGACATGCACTTTGGGACTGTCTACTCAGGAAAGGTGTGCCTGAGAAATATGTGAATATTATCCGAGCATTATATGCGCGTAGCTCGGGCAGAGTGAGGGCTTACGGCAAGTTGTCGTCGCCCTTTAATATCTCTAGCGGCGTGAGACAAGGATGCCCGCTATCACCTTTCCTCTTCAATTTCGCTGTTGACGAAGTCATGGAAATCGCGTTTACAGGACACGACTTAGAAGGTGTGGATCTGCTCCCAGGAGAACGACTTCTTGATTTAGAGTATGCTGATGATATTGCCCTGATCTGTGACAGCTCACAAACGTGCCAAGCGGCTCTGGACAGATTAGCACTGGCTGTCCGTCACTTCGGGCTTTGCTTCGCACCCTCGAAGTGCAAAGCGTTTCTCCAAGATTGATCTGGACCGCCTCCTACGCTGACCCTCGGTGGGGATCAGCTAGAAGTCGTTCAAAAATTCAACTACCTAGGAAGTTGTATCAGCGCCCGTGGGATTGAAGATGAAATCACGAATCGTATAGCAAAAGCTCGGGGCGCTTTTGCCAACCTTCGCCACTTATGGCGCCGGCGCGACATCACTCTTGCCCTGAAGGGTAGAGTGTACAATGCAGCAGTACGTTCGACCCTACTGTACGGTTGTGAAATCTGGCCGCTTAAAGCAGCGGACCTGATGAGGCTAGTTACGTTCGACCACCGGTGCCTTCGTAATTTAGCTCACATTTGGTGGGAACACCGCGTGAATAACGAGCGTGTTTGACGCCTTGTTTATGGCACAGGAAAAGGAAATGAACCGCTCAGCACCGTTATTTCACGCATCAGGCTCCGATGGCTCGGCCACGTGTTACGCATGCCAGCCCACCGACTTCCGCGACGTGTGTTGTTTGCGCGCCGGGGGTGTGGATGGAAGAAGAGGAGGGGTGGCCAAGCGATGACTTGGTCCAGAGAAATGAAGACCCTCACTTCTGAGCCGGCCTCGGTTGGAGCGTCTCGGCTCTCTGGTTGGAGTCCGAAAGACGGTGAACACGTTTGGTTGGACACACTTGCTGATATGGCTAGGAGCCGACCTCAGTGGCGTTCGTGCTGTGAGTTTCTTTGTCCCACCCCATCCCTCTTAGCCTCCCCCTCCAACCATGATCTCATTACTTAGCCTTACATAATTTTGCATAATAATTTTTTTGGGGTGCACAACAGCCGGCTGGTAGCTTACCGGAACGATGCCCATCCGTTACCGGTAGCTCAGCCAGCTTTCACTAGTTGTTTTTTTCTCTCCTTTTTTTCTTTGTATTGCGGCACAGTAGCTGAGGTGTTCCCCACCTCTAGCTAACGTGTATGATGATGATGATGATGATGAGTTCGTACATGGTGTTATCCCGGAAGTGCAATTGATAGGTTCCAACATATGCTTTCCGCCACACAACTTTGTGGAGGAAGCACAGATTTAATTGCATACTTCGTAACCATAAAGGTTAAAATTTAGCTCCTTGCACCTATCTGTGTATGAAAGAGCGGATGAATAACCAAATATGCGCTTCGTACAAGCACGTTGTACGTTTTCAATGGCTCGCAAGTCACACTTTCGCAAGTTACTTAAGGTAACAGCAATATTCAAGCAAAGACCTGATACTGATTTTGAAAGCAATTAGTCTGAATTCTTTCAAGGGTAGCAGATGGCATATGAACGCAACCGACTGCTTAGCCTTTTTTACGATATGATTTGTATTTTCGCTAAAGTTTAATGAACTAGAGTATCAAACCTAAGTCACGAACAAACTGGCTGATGGGAATGACTTCGCATGAAGCCTGAACACTTCTGCTGCTATCTGACATCCATACTCCCGAGTACTACACTTCGATGTTGCAAACTTCATCTGCTAAATATTAGCCCATCTCAATGGCTTTCAAGTCGCTTTGGATATTGTTAAGTTCAGCGGCATGCTGGGCACGTGTAAACCACCATCATCAGCAAACAAATAAGGCTTCCCAAATTGTATAACAGAAACAAGGTCATTTATATACAGTAAGAAGAGTAACGGACCTAAGACACTGCTCTGTACCACTCCACTGGTGACCAGATGAGGTGAAGAGATGTAACCATTGATATCCACAACTTGCGACCGTCCTACTACGTACGATTGGATCCAAGAATGAAGCGGATTTATAACACCGTACTTACTTAATTTATTTAGCAGCTTCTTGTATGGGGACTCTGTCAAATGCTTTTTGCTTGTCGAGGAAGATGACTGCACTGAAGACCTTAGTCAATTGCTTCAGTTAGATGGTTAAGGAAGTCAACTTGACAGGCAACACACGAGCGGGACTTTAGAAAGCCATGCTATGAATGTGAGGGAAGTTTATGCGATAATAGAAGCGAAACCAAATGTTGCTTAACCATTCTCTCCAGCATGTGTGAGAGAATGTCTGTATGACTAATGGGGCGGTAGTTCCGGATGTCAGTTTTCGGCCCGGACTTATGTCTCGGTGCAACCGTAGCCGTTTCCCAACGTTCGGGATGTTGACCAGACTGGAGAGACAAAGAGGTATTCAATAATATAAGAGGGATATCATCTCTACTGTGTTTGAGTAAAGTAGAAGAGATCCCATCGGGGCCAGGTCTGTAGGATAGTCGTAGACAGGTAATCATACGTTTTATCGTGGCGACACTAAGCTTGATCGCTGAGACATGTTCAGAGAAATTAAACGAGGTTGACAATTCCAGGGTTTCTTCAAGCTTAAAGGATTTAGCACAGTGTAAGTAAAAGGCCTCTGTCATAGCAACGGGTGAATCAATGCATTCGCATTCAGGCATGACGATGTATTAGGGTAGGTCAGTTTTGCTGGCTCTCATTTTTCTCAATAATGCAGTCAAGAGTTGACCTGTATTACTATTGTCCTTCCTGCATGAGACGGGTGTAGTGTTTCATGTCCGTCTCAATTACAAGGCTTTGGAGTCTCAGTAATACGCTGAAGTCGTGAGTATGTTCATATGTTCGGGTTAGCACTCGTATTTTCTGCTTGTACT